ACCACGACACCTAGCAAAACATTAGGACGAAACGACGAAACTAGAAAAAGAGAAAAATAAAACACTACAAATGAAATTGGCAGTACAAAAAAATTGTGATAAAACAACAATAGAAGAACTGCACGACAACTACACCTTATCTACGACAAGTTAATACCAAACCGACAACGAAACCAAGAATAAAACTGAAGATGGCGAAAAGAAGTGACAACACCAATGACGAACGGCGATAATAGTAACATTTAAAAAAAAAAAAGATCTGTGTATTTATTTTTTTATGTTGATCTGTGAAACAGAAAAGAGCCTATGTAATTACATGACCCGACCAAGACCGGAGATTGACTGATCATGTGACCCGGAAAATCACACCTACATCCTGTATCTGTTAGTTTTAATAGTGGTAGCAGGTGGCTTGAGATACAGGTCTATGGATAGCAGCAGCACCTGGCTCAAGATACGGATTAGGTCAGAACTAAATATTCTGAAGTTGGTCATATGGTCAGAAAGGAACAATAATATTAAGATAAAGCTTTACAGTAGAGATATACAAATATTGTATTTGTTATATAATTTTTATACTTGCCTAGCACAGGTTATAATAGTGCACTTTTCTTTTTTCTTTTTTTGTTCGTTTTTGTGCTATTTCTTAATAGAGGTAGCTGCTATTTTTCACAGGAGATAACTTTTTCTTATTCAGCCTGTCAGGGTTTATCTCTTTGTTTTTTCTTTTTTTACATTTTTCGTTTCTCTTTTTTTTTATTTCTTATTATTTTTCCCTTCTTGTTTTGTTTCTTTTTTGTATATAAACTTTTTTTTTTGATGTACGTTTTAGTATTGAGAATATGGAATATTATTTTCTTTTGCTCTCAGTGAAGAAAATAAGAATGAAGGGATAGGCTCTTGGCGAGCTGACAAGGTCTTCTAACTTACATATAGGTTGGTGCGACGAGTCACTCTTGGGCATACTAGATGCAGCTGAGAGATGTCGGGCTTGCAATTTTTCTATACTAATATTATTCATTCCGTCCAAGTTTGTTTAAATAAAGTATTGTATTTGAGCTCTGGCAAGGCTATCAAAGAGTTAAAAAATAATAATAATAATAATAATAATATTATTATTATATATCTATTAATTTATACTAACTCTGAAAAGCTAAATAAGTCTTAATCACTCTAGTAGATTTAAATTACAAATAAATTTTTATTAGTCTGAGCTCTTACTCTTGTATATAATTTATATGCATTTGTATTAGTACAAATTAAGTTGTATATAGTTTATTATCTAGCTTCTTATATAAATTATTTAATAAAAATTTAAGTAAGACCTCACCTTAAAAAAAAAAATAAAAAATTAATAATATTATACAATTTAATTTTAATTTAGATAATTCTTTAAGTTTAAATCACAAATAATTAGTTTAGCTTTGGTCAAGCTTTTAATCTAAGCTTTTATTCTTGTATATAATTTATATCTAATTGTTTATATACAAATTAAATTTTTATATAGCTTCTATATAATTACTTGTATAAATTACTAAATAAAAATACAAACAAGACTTTATTTTAATATTAAAAAAAAACTTTAATTTAATTTTAATCCATCTATATCTTATAATATATCTATTTATTACTTACATGTTTTTAATTTTATACAAGGATTTTATATACTTACTATATATCAGAATATTAAATACTTTTACAAAAAAACTAACAAATTATTTATTTTTTTTAAATAAACTACTTAACTAATTTCATTAAAAAGTTTGTATTCTACAAAATACTTTATAATATAACTAAAAAAATCTCAAAAAATTACTACTAAAATAAAAAACTTAAAATAATTATTTCTCAAATTTTATTCTCTTTAAATTTTTTTTAAACTATTTCAGTTATATTTAATTCAATTCTAGCTATTAATAAGATATTAGTTTTGATATATAAATAATAGATAACCTAGAGTTAGCTATTTAGATTTTCTTTAAACTATTTTAACTTAATATTAATTTGAAATAATTAATAATAGTATTATAAGAAATAAAAGTATAATATCATATTAGGTGACTTTTAAATAGTACAAATATAGTTTAAAAATATTTTATATAATATAATTATAATTACAAATAATAAAGTTTTTACTTTGGCATTATAAAAAAAAAGTTTACTATAAACTGTTTTTATTTAAGAAACATTTAGCAAAATAAAAAAAAAACCATAAAACATCCAATTTTTAATGCTTATATAATCAATTCTAATTGGCTAATTTTGATATAATTGATTATTATTGGTTAATTAAGCATATATATATATTTTTTTATATTAAATGTCAATTTTTTAAATCATTATAAACTTTAATCTTTAATAACTTCTTTAAAACAAAAAATAATGAAAAATCCTTCGACAAAAATGTAGTTTAGCTAAATATCTATCAATTTGTCGAATGATTTTTTGATTTAACTTGTTTTAAAAAAGTTATAATAGTTTAAGTTATAATAGTTTAAAGTTTTTATTAATAAAAAGTGAATGCGTTTTGCTGTCTGGTACTGTACTATTATTATTTAATAAAAAATAATGAAAAAAATATAATAATAATACAATTTCTCAAAACAATTCTGTATATTAGATATAATATACATCTTTATTGCTCTAAAGTAAGATCCAATTGTTTTAAAGATTTTTATAATAAAAGTAAATAAATTTATTGAATATTTGTATATTTGTTTTTTTATTTAATTTATAAAATTTATAGTATTTATTATAATTTAAGTAGAATAAAAGTTATTTTACAAAATTTGGAGCAAATTTGTCCCGAATTTACATACAGATTAAGGGATACTATTTTTTATACATTCAGACATCTCTAAATGCATAGCCAAAAAATCTTGCATTTAGAGAGGTATTGCGTTTAGGGAGGTAAAAATCTACAAGTGTCATATGAGTTGGGGCCAAACAAGGCCATAGACTATGCAGTTAGGGAATATACATATAGGGAGGTCTGACCGTATTTTATTAAAATAATTATCGCTGTTTTCGATTACCTTAGCACGTTGATCAATCTTCAATCAACTGCTAAGGTAATGAGTGTACGAGTGACGCCGAAAGAAAATTTTATTTGCCGTTTTCAACTATTTCGAAAACAGCGATAAATTAATTTCAAGTTTTTTTTTATCAAAAATTTTACTAATCGTCAAAGTTTATAATAAGAGGTTATACTGTAGTGAAAAAATTTGATTACTATTTCTAAATACATAAATAATAACTATTTAAAACATGATTCCTATTCTACTACATATATTTAACGTGATAAAAAACTGCTAATTTATTGCTTTGATCATCCGATTTTTTTTTATGTTGTACATACACATCGATATCTTTGCTTCCCAATATATGGGATCTTTGCTAGGAAAATCACCCTTCGGGATTTTCCGATCGGGCTAATTCGGAAAAGCTTAGACCAGAATGCAAATCGCTTTTTGTTTTATTTATTCGATAGTTTATTAAATAAACTGTCGAATCAAAGGTTGTTTTACATATGAATAGTGATGTGATAGCTGTTGTGTGCCGCATAGTGGCACATAACAGCCAATCATTTATTTGGTTTGATAGAACAATTAGCATAACTGCAATTTTTACAGGCGATATTAGATTGGCTGGATGACGAAGCCGCCACATGTGCTATTCTAGTTATCCGTATAGAATGGTTAATCTTGCGAATATCAAAGTATTTGTAGCATCCAGATATCTGGTTAACCACACGGATATCCGGATAATAGACCCACAGTTTCAAGCCCTAGAATATTAGCTATATATTATAATAAATCTAAAATTTTCTTAATCATTTACACCGCTATATATTTGAGCCTTTATCTACAATCAATCGGACAACAATCAGGTGATTGTGCAGCGATCTACAAATTTTGATCAAAAGGGCACAGATTAGGCAGAATCCGCACTAGTAATGCAGTAGAATCCTCGTAACTTGCCGACTTGCTGATACATAGTAAGTTACCGTAATTTACTATATATATTACTATAGTTACAGCAAGTTACGGCAAGTTATGGCAATCATTGGGATGATTCTACCGTATCACTACTCCGTACACTTGCGCATAAAATGGATTCGCAAATCTACAAATTGGAGCTTCATACAAATCTCCGTCACGACCACGAAAATGACGAAAATGATTCATAGCATTTAGTTTTTTATTTTCTAATATAAAGAGGTGCCTATTTTCACGTGTATATGAATTGTGGGGGTGCAAATTTTCGGAGGAATATTTGATTATATAATGCGTGAGAAAATTAAAACCAGTGATTACCTCAATCTATGTGATAATTAGTGTTACTCTTATCGTTTATCAGTTTTGTTCCAAGTAATTTTAGGTATTACGTAATATAAAATCAATCAGATTTGTCGGATTTAGCATGAAGATAAACCGGTGATTTTCTTTCGTATAATTTAAAATTCATTCTCCCTTATTGACAATGATTGGCTCCAATTTTGTTTTTCGCTATTTTTTATTATTTTTTTTTGCCCTCACACGTTTTCCTAATTTAGATACAAAGATAAAAGGTTGCGGCATATCTTGTATGGCACAGTTCATCTTCGGTTTGGATCCAATTTTCAAATATGAAATTCTCTCACTCACTTCAGTTCAATTCTGTCCCGGACTGGGCTGACCGTTATATTGCGTATCCTTCATTGTTAAAGACTATATAGCTTAACGCACTTGTTTTTTTGAACTTTATTCCAAGAGCAAAAATACCTTAACTCGACTTTTCTTTATAGATATTCAAATCTCAAAAAGCTCGTTTATCAGATCGAAAGAGATATAATAGTAGCACCTACCTCCCAAACAAGTGATATTGAGGCAGTTGAAGAATCTCCGCTACTAGACTTAAAAGATCGTGCAAATGCAATATTCATACCGGCCCTTGACAAAGAGCTTACAAAAATTAACGCATTTTATCTCTCTAAAGAGGATGAACTCTTTAAAGAACTTACATCTCTTATTCAGGATTTCGCTGTATTTGAAAATCTTCAGGATCTTCAGGATTCTGTGAGTGTCCGTAGCAATTCGTTTTCCCTAAGTCGGTCTGCTCAATCATTTGAAAATAAACTTAATAATAAAGCCAGCAGTTCTCGTCTTCAAAGACTGTCAACGTCAGAATCTTATCTTTCAAATGCTAGCAGTGATGACGAGGATTATAATACACCAACTACTCCGATTGCTAGAGGAAGACAATCCTTTCTATGGAGACCATCATCTATGGAAGAACAAAAAATACACTTAAAGAAACGTACAATTGATCTTTTTGTTTGGTTATCTGAACTTAAATCATTTGTTCTCTTAAATCGAACTGGATTTTCGAAAATTTTAAAAAAATATGACAAAATAACCAATGGTAATCTTAAAACTTCATATATAAATAATTCGGTAAATGATACGTATCTGTTTAAAGCTTCAACACTTAAGAACTTAGAAGATCAAATTTTAAAGGTGCGAGAAATTTATGCTAATATATGTACGAACGCAGATATGGAAGTTGCTATGCGTGAGCTTAAAACACATTTGAGAGAATTTATAGTTTGGGAAAGAAATACTGTCTGGAGAGATATAATTGGTCTAGAAAGAAAATCACAAGCTGTAGGCATAAAACCTTCCATGATAGTAGATAATTTAGTTGACGCTAAAGCGAAAATCGAAACGCCTTTTGGCGGGATAACCATTTCAAATACTTTTTGGAAAACTTCTTTGTTGTTATCAGTTTGTATCATAGTATTTGTATTATTACTTAATGTAAATTTATTTGAGAAACCGGAACAAAAAAATTGCTTTGCTTTATTGATATTCGTTTGTCTTCTTTGGTCTACAGAGGTAAGATTGTTTGGGTGCATCATAATAATGATTTATATACTGTATATTTTTTAATTTATTCAAATTACAAATCTATATATATAATAGGTTATTCCTCTTTTTGTTACGTCTCTTTTAATTCCATTGTTAGTCGTATGTTTGCGCGTATTGCCTTCAGTTAGCGCAAGCGAGTCAGCTCACAAAATTTTTGAAGCAATGTTTTCACCGGTTATAATGTTACTTTTGGGTGGCTTTGCAATTGCTGGTGCATTAAGTAAATATCATGTTGCAAAAATGATGGCTACATTTGTGTTGGCAAAGGCAGGAACACGACCAAGTAATGTTCTTCTTGTCACTATGTTTGTTGCAACGTTCTCAAGCATGTGGATAAGTAATGTTGCTGCACCAGTTTTGTGCCTTTCATTGATCCAGGTATATTTTATTATTACTTTATTTATATACTCAAACTTTTCGTAAAGTAACAAACAGTCCATTTTTTATTATTAAATATTAGCCAATTCTTCGAAATTTACCTCCAAATAGTTCATTTGGTCGATGTTTAATTCTAGGCATTGCTCTGGCATCCAATGTTGGTGGTATGGCATCTCCCATATCATCTCCACAAAATATAATAGCAATTGAATATATGGATCCTAGTCTCACATGGATTGGTTGGTTCATTGTAGCCATTCCTTTATGTATAATTGTAAACATTTTAGTTTGGCTTTTACTACTTTTTAATTATAAACCATCTGATGATTCATTAAGTATTCATCCAATAAGATTAACAAAAGATCCTTGGTCTGAAACTCAAATATTTGTAATAGCGATCACTGTTATAACTATTGCATTATGGTGTGTCGAAAAACAACTTGAAAACTTTTTTGGAGATATGGGAATTATTGCTATTATACCGTTAGTTGCGTTTTTCGGTACTGGAATTTTAACCAAAGAAGATTTTAACAATTTTTTGTGGACTGTAATCGTACTTGCAATGGGTGGTATAGCCCTTGGTGCAGCCGTGCGTCAATCAGGGTTGTTACATACCATTGCTGAGTCAGTCAAACAAATGGTTAGTGGTTTGGATATATGGCAAATTTTTGTGATATTTGGCTCGTTGGTTGTGGTCGTAGCCACATTTATTAGTCATACTGTTGGTGCGTTAATCATTTTACCTATTGTTGCTCAATTGAATGATCAACATTCAAATTTACTTGTTATGGTTTGTATTGTTTGATATATGAATACTTTTTTAATTTGTGACCATTAAAGTTTATTAATTGTTTCATTTTTTTAATATAGGGATCGGCATTAATTTGTTCCGTAGCAATGGGATTACCAGTATCCGGTTTTCCAAACATGAATGCTATAATGATGGAAGATGAGATGGGAGTACGGTATCTCAGTACCTTTGATTTTATAAAATCTGGTATACCAGGATCGTTGTTAGGTTTAGCGTCTATAACTACAGTTGGTTATGGATTAATGTTACTTATTGGTTTTTAATTAAGTTATTTTATCATCTTATAGTATAATTAACTAAATATTGTCAAAAATTTTTATTATTAAAATAAGTAAAAAAATAAATATAATTTAAGGGTTAATAAATTTGTAATCACGGTTACTAAGATCAGATGCAATGTCAAATTTTTAATAAACTCATTAATAACTCTTATGAAATCATCTTTTATGTTCTAACAAAAAAAAAATTCCTTGCTAAATTTTGATATAAACTATGCTAACTTTCTAACATTAACTTTACCTTAAAGTTTTATCTTTATAAAAAAAAATTGGTTAGATACACCTGATCTTAGTACGGTTACAAAACATTAATTCTTAATTTTAAAATAGTTAATTTATACAAATTTTTACGGGTCCTCTACGATGACATATAGTGTTACACTTGATATTGCGATTTTATTGGTTTAAAATTCAAAGTTGAAAAATAAATTATGCTATATAGATTAGAAAGGCATCGGGCTCATTTTTCAAGTGAGATATTTGCAAGATTGAGTTTCTCCTGCTTAAGGTCTACTGATTCTGAAGAAAGGGTTAGTTATGCGCTTTCTTTTTGCAGTAAAAAAGTTTTTTGATGAAATTTGAGTGACCTATTTCTACTAGACTTTTCTTTTTTCATGTCAATAGTACTAATAGGTTTACAAATACCACACTTTTTTGGATTAATACAGTAATTTACAAATAGGGCGATTATAACGACGCAACATGCATGTGATTTATCTCCCAGCAAGTGACCGACAATGAAAATCAAAGTTTTTTTTTAATTTGAACGAAGATATCTCGAACCATCCAAGCGAATTCGATGAATTCTTTTTATTTTAATTATACAGACTTGTAAAATTAAATAAAAAAATTTTTATCAAAATTAGCTTAGATGGTTGCCGAGATATATTCGGTTAAAATTTGGCAAAGGATTAAAACGTCTATAAATAGAAGTAGGGATAAAACTTTTTTAGACTTTGAACAAAGATATTCAGTGAACCTTTTTTATCTTACAAGTCAATAGAGTCAAAATAGGCAAAAATCATCGAATTTGTTTAAATAATTCAAACATCTATTAAATAGAAGCAGGGATGATGTTTTTTTAAATTTAAAACGAAGATATCTTAACAGCCATTTAAGCTAATTCGATTAAAAAAGTTTATTGAATCTGCTTTGATGGTTGTCTAGGCACCTTATTCAAAGTTTTAAAAAAAATTTATTTTGTAGACTTTTAATCCTTTAAACAAACTTTGAACAAAGATAACTCGGCAACCATTTAAGTAAATTCGATGAACTTTAATTTTATAAGTCTGTAGAATTAAAATAAAAAAGAACTCATTGAATAGTTGTTGAGATATCTTCGCTAACCTCCGATCCGGATAACAATTAATAGCATCAGCCATAATCTATCAAATTTGTAAATTAGAAAAATGGTTAGATCGTGTATTTATTATACATCACAAAATATTTAACTGTTAATAAAGGCCTGGGTAAAAAAAAAATATCATTAATACTGTATGTAAGATTTAAAATTTTAATTATTATAATAAATAGTTTTAATTATTTAATAGGCCCTATAGAATTAATTGATAAAGTTACAGAACATTTAATATAATTTGGTATACATTACTTTATAAAAAAAAACCACTGGCAAATAAATATATATATAATTGTAATTAAGAACTTCGAATTTCTATTATTTTTGAACTAGATACTGTAGTGCCCATGCAAATAAAATCATTTCCTACGTATAATACTAAAAAGCCTTTTTTTTATTTTATCCATGCCAAACGAGCTGTAAGGTTTAAATTTTATATCAGTTCAGTATAGTAAGTGTTAACTTTTGAAAAAACTTTTTTTCAAAATATCCAGTTCGTTATATAGAAAGTTGACATAATTCCGAAGAAATTTTAAATTTAAATGCATTGCCTTATTTGGAAACTACAAAATTTTCAATTTTGCTTTATTACAATTAATTGAAGCTAATTTCGCTATAATCACTTATTATTATTATTATTATTATTATTGTTTATTAAAAGAAAATGCGAAAATATAATTAATATTATTGCTAAAACTAATAACATTATCATCAAAATTTCACGCAAATTTTTTTAGATTCCTATAATAAATACTGCATCAAATGAAAATAGGGGAGCTTGTATTATTTAGTGGGCAGCTATTATGAATTGGATTCTCTAATTGTGTCTTGAAAAAATTTTCTGATTTGGCAGCAATCGAAGGGCTAGCTGTGTTAAGTATACTTGATGAGTAGATGTTTGTTATTATAGGAAGTACGTAGCCAATCCCTCCTCCAGAACCAGTAGGCTCCCTACTCAAAAAATCTCATAGGAGTTAAATTACATGCCCCCGCCTTCGCTACTTTCATTACCATCATCATTATCATTATTATCATCGTAGTTATTATTATTATTTTATCATCATCTATTTCTTTATTGTCATCGATTTCTTTATTGTCATCTATTTCTTTATCATTATCTCTTTTGTTTTTATCAACATTGTCATCTTTTTCATTTCATCATTTGCTTCTTTCGTTTTTATTAGCATCGCTGTCTCTTTTATCTTCTAAAAGATGGGGAGCAATTTTCTCCTTGGTCCATTAATAATTTTCACAAAGAGGCTTTGATTACACTGTGAGAAATCTATTGCAGAAAAATTATAATAAATAAAATATAAAAAAAAATTGACGCATAAAAACTTACCTAATCACAGATATACTCCAAAGCTGATCTGATGTTACAGACTCTTTGAAGTTTAAACACTTCTTTTAAACGTAGAATAAAATTAACTTTATCCTCGTACAGTAAGTATGACTACTTGATGGTAATTTGCGTTAATTACTCATTTCTAACTAACTTACTAACTTCAATATGTAAAAATACTAACTTCCTTTTATCTTGAATCTTACGCGTTGAGTTTCGTGCTAACTTCTTTTAACGCAAGGGAGACGAAAGCATTAGATTGAAAAATAAAAATATGATAAGCATTGAAAATTTAGCTTAAATAAATAAAAGTGTTGAAAAAATAAAAAGTAAAATTTTTTTTCAGGAAAATGGTTGTTAAGAAAAAATGAGAAAAAAGTATTTAAAAGTTTTACAAAAACACATGCGCAATCAACAGTGGACTTTTAAAAATGAAATTACTGAGAAATGATTAAAGTTAAACAATTAACCAGTTAAACATGAGTTTTAATCACATGAATTTAATTATGTAATCGAGTTCGAAACCTCTTTTGATGACTTTTGCAAAATAAATTTATAACCAGTTATTTATTTATTTGATGTTTTCTTGTACATATTTAAACAAATTAATTTAAGTAAAATCATAATATTAATGCTGTATCAAATAAAAATTTAGAACTTTAGTTGTAATTATTACATATTCAAAAGATAATGCAATAATTTATAAATTTTATTACTGTAATGTTTACCACTGTTTTCGAAATGGTTGAGAATAGCAGGATTTACAAAAAAAATTTTTTTTGACGAATACTCGAATACTCGAATACTCGATTAGTTAAGAACTTAAATCGACGATCGATTCCCGATTTATGTAATTGTTATATTAAACAATTACAGAATTACAACTAGCTTATACGTAGCGAT